TGCGGCAAGTGTACCAGACGTTATCATGGATAAAGAAATCAATGATCCGAGATCGACGACGACTCAGAGCGAGAAGAAAGTACTCAGTAGAACAGAGAGTAGAAGTCTGTTCGAGTTTAAGAGTGTTCCTTTATATGGAGTTACTTCGATTTGTGGAAGACGACCAGAGATGGAAGATTCTGTCTCTACGATTCCTAGATTCCTTCAAGTCTCGTCTAATTCGTTGCTCGATGGTCGAGTCACCAATGGATTCAATCCTCACTCGTGTGCTCATTTCTTCGGTGTTTACGATGGACATGGAGGTTCTCAGGTAAATATCAAAATTCATCGATTTGATTTCGAATTTGATCGGAAATTGCAAATGGATCTGATTTTGTTCTTCTTTGATTGGTTTTTTTTGTGTTTAGGTGGCGGATTATTGCCGTGAGAGGATGCATTTGGCTTTGACGGAGGAGATAGTGAAGGAGAGGCCGGAGTTTTGCGACGGTGACACGTGGCAAGAGAAGTGGAAGAGAGCTTTGTTTAACTCTTTTATGAGAGTTGACGGAGAGATCGATTTCGTTCCGGAAACGGTTGGGTCCACTTCGGTGGTTGCTGTTGTTTTTCCGACGCATATCTTTGTCGCGAATTGCGGCGACTCGAGAGCGGTTCTGTGCCGCGGTAAAACGCCACTCGCGTTATCCGTCGATCACAAAGTAAGTATATTGTATATTCGTTTACATATTATAGGTTTATCGCCATTACTAACTTACTATGAATGACTCTAATTTGTATTATGCGAAATGGCAGAATTCAGTTATATGATGCGGTTTTATTTCTATTTAGTAATTCCGCGATTCCGCAATTTTTAGGCCAAATATAATTGCCATTTCGCTTAATGAATTCGCTTCAATTGCTACGGTGTTACCAACCAGACCGTATACATATATTGGTCAATGTTCTTATAGTGCGTGGCTCTACATTTATGTGTAGCCGGATAGAGAAGATGAAGCGGCGAGGATAGAAGCAGCTGGAGGGAAAGTAATCCAGTGGAACGGGGCTCGTGTTTTTGGTGTGCTCGCAATGTCGAGATCCATAGGTAACGAATGCTTCACTTTCTCTGGAAAATATTCAATGATTTTGGTTCTTTTGATAGTTTGCTTACATTTATAAACCATTGCAAACAGGCGATAGATACCTAAAGCCATCGGTGATCCCGGATCCTGAAGTGACTTCTATCCGACGAGTCAAAGAAGACGACTGTCTCATCTTAGCAAGCGACGGTCTTTGGGATGTGATGACAAACGAAGAAGTGTGCGATCTGGCTCGGAAAAGGATTCTGTTATGGCACAAGAAGAATGCGATGGCTGGAGATGCTTTGCTTCCGGCGGAGAAGAGAGGAGAAGGAAAAGATCCTGCGGCAATGTCTGCGGCGGAGTATCTGTCGAAGATGGCGTTGCAAAGAGGAAGCAAAGACAATATAAGTGTGGTAGTGGTTGATTTGAAGGGAATAAGGAAGTACAAGAGCAAATCCTTGAATTGAAATAGAAGGTTTGGAAGAAAAATGAAAAAAAAAAAAAGTTTTGATGGTGGGTAAATCTTTTTTAAAAAGGTAAAAGAAAAACAGGTAGTAATAATATTATTAATTGTTTTGTAATATTAATTTCCTGCTTAATTTTCATTTATTTACTTTGGTCTCTTCCCACCATTACTTGATCAGTTTCTCACTAACATGAATATGTATATGGAGATAATGTAGCTTTCCAAACAAAAAAATCCCCTTCTGTGTTTTTATTTTTGGGGTTAATTGTAATATTACTACAATAATTTTTTTTTTTCATTTGATGTTTTATTACCTTTTTTTTTGTCTGGAATAGAGTCTACAAATTTATAATAAATACTAGGATCCAAATTTTATTTAAAAATATTTAAACATTTAATAAAATATTGCATGTACTTAATATTCAAAATTGATCCAAAAAGGGTAAAATAAAAAAGAGAGAATCACAAAAATGCTATGAATGGGCCAACAGTTTGCAAAACTGCCACACGCGCTGGACCCTTTACAAAAATACCACGATTTTATCCGAGAAGGACAAATTTACCCCTGAAACAAAGAACGCTCTCAATATTCTCACTCCCAAAACCTAATCGCCATTGGCACTTTTCTTATCTTTAGAAAGGAAATCGAAGCTTTTTAGACGTAATTGGAGAAAAAATCGAAGCTTTTTAGATGTCATTCGAGAGGAAATCGAAGCTTATTAGAGGTAATTTTCATCTCTATTTCTCGTTTTCTCAATCTAGATCTAGATCTAGTTTTTGATTCGCGATTTTGCAATTTTGCAATTTCGTCGATTTGTGTAACAGATTTTACTAGTTTATTTGATTTTGTCAATGGTTTTTCGATTCGCGACTATCCGATATTGTCGATATGAGTTTCAAACTCGTCGTCGTACTTGGTTTGAATATGTCAATCTCGGTWGTTTTTCCTTATTGACGTGAATCTGGGTAAATTTATGGGTTTTAAACAGTTTGTAAAACGATAATATATGATATGGAAATTGATGGTTTAAATCTGTAAAACTAGGTAAAGTTTTGTTCTTGAAGTGATTACGGATAAAATTCAGACAATTTACAGATTTTATAAAGGTTTTTAACAATTTATAAATCGATTATTGACATGTGTTTTCAATCATTTTTCAGATGAATCAGACAGATGATGAAATATTTGACGGCATAAACATGCTAGAACAGGTTTACAAACCTGGTTTTGAACCTGACYATAATAAAACGGCGCAGCAACATGTCAACATGAAATTGGTTGATACTGTCCGTGCAATACTAGGACCTGAGTTGTTCAGTAGGATTGAAAACAGTTTTCTCGGTCCTATTGTACAACTTGCAC